CCACGTCAGACTTCTGCACTTACCTGTATTTTTTCATGAGCTAAATGTTACTCAGAAAGCTGACAAGTGGAAAGGAGAAAAGCAATCTGTTTTTCCACCTAAGAATAAGAAGAGACTTTCTAAAATTTCTTTTAGCTTAGAGCTGAAAATTTAAGCTCAGCCTTGGTACTGAAGAATTTGGTACTGAACAAAGAAGAGACTTTCTAAAATTTCTTTTAGCTTAGAGCTGAAAATTTAAGCTCAGCCTTGGTACTGAAGAATTTAAGAACATAGAACACTTTGTAGCAGATTCTCTAGCAAAGTATTTTAAAAGATGGTCTGGTTAGAGCTTGCTTTTAACTTCCTGTATATAATGTGATTAGCCTGAGGTAGGGGGAGGGCTGAGAGTTGGTATAAGGTCAATGTATTGAGCATGATAACCAGAATTTTAGTTAGTATCAGTCCATTTCCCTAGCCAAATAAAAGTTCACTCTGAGTAATTTTCTCTCAGAAAAAGCCTGGTCTCAGATGGTAAAGACAGGAGATTGGTCTTCCCTGCTATGAGATTATTAGAGAGTGATCCTGCTAAAAAGATGGGATATTTTACTAAGCCTTACACAAACTGCTACACTCATGTTTAGGTCTTACTCATCCAAGCCCAAATATTGTATAAGAAGTTTGTGAAATCAACCGGCTTTCTGGGGAGTGAACAGTGGGCAGTGATTCACATTGTGGAGCAGCGAGCACGCCTCTACCCAGTGGCCTTCTTATGTTGCTGGGGCCCAGGTTGGTATGGTAGTAGGAAGAGTTGAGCTGTGAAAAGGGCAGTTGTTGGATTCTGATAAAGCAAAGCAAGATGATGACTACATATTCCTGTCCTCACCTGTAGTTTACTTGTCACTGATCTCCATGAGATGCACCCTGATATGAGAGGGAAAGTGTCCTGACACAATGCAGATATTAACATTTGCCCTTCCTACCATTTAAGTTTGTAGTGAAGGTCAGATTGGATAATGTTTATGAAAGACCTTAGTAAATTTTGAAATGCTAAGAAGTATATTATTATCTTCCTATAGTGTACTTGCCTCCATTTTCACACTAATAATCCGTAGTTTAATGAGTAAGGACTGGAAGTCAGAGGTCAAAGGCTCAGTGGTTTACGTAACTGGGTCATCTCACTGCTTGTCTTCCCTATGTCATAGCTTCCATCTAATAATGTCCAGGCATGTGTCCTGAGAGCTTTGGCCAATGAGGGCTAACAACAAGATTTACACATTGTATATTCACAGCTGTCATTCTGATGATCATAAAGCTGACCAAGCCACAGGACACCAAGCTGTATGTGACCCTGTATATGCTCCAGGTAACACTTTCAAAGTCCAGCATCTCTTTTCCTACACCCTCTTATCCTGTTCTTTTATGCTGCTGTTACTTAGTAAGCACAATTTTTCCCTCAGGTATTTATTTCTCCATTGCAAAAGTGGACATGTATTATTTATGCTCATTTATGAAGAATGTAAAATTTCCTTAAGGTGAAAGGTAATTACTTAAGTAAAAGTGCTGCTCTGGACCAGGCATGATGGTACATGCCTGTAATCCCAGTTACTTGGGAGGTAGAGATTGGAGGGAGGATCATATTTCAAGGCTATTCCACACAGAGAAAAGTTAGACCCTATCTCAAAAAACAGGCTAGGCATGGTGGTTCACATCTGTAATCCCAGCTACTCAGAACAGGTAGGACGATTGAGGTCCAAGGTCAGCCAGGGCAAGAAGCATGTGAAACCTAAAGGAAAAAGTTCTGGAGGAGTGGCTCAAGTGGTAGAGCACTGCCTAGCAAGCTAGAGGCCCTGGGTTCAAACCCTAGTACCACCAAAAAAGAATAAGTGCTGCTGTATACCCAAAAGCTTGTGTATCTCTGGGTGATTTTGTTTTATTGACAGGTTTTAAAGAGATGGAAAGTAAAAAACAAGATCTAACAGGCCAAACTCTTATGAAACATTGGTAGAGATGATTCTCTTCAATCCAGAGGGAATTGAATAAATTAACTGTCTTAGTGAGTGGAGGAGGTGATGGAATGATTTTCTCCTTTCCTCCTTTATTTACCAAATTGAAGAAGAAAAATTTTGCCTATCTAACTATGCTGACAGGCAGTTTTCTTTGAGAGATGGGTCAGTAAGGAGGAGTAGTGAAGCCTCTTCATTGTCTTTATATATATATACTAAGAAATATAATCAACTACCAATCATCTATGACCAAGGTACATTGTGATGAGTGAGTCTGGGAAGAGCTAGAAAAATATAAAAAGCTGGTATCAGATCTTGGTGTTTGAGATAAGAGAACATGTTAATTATGCTTTATAAATATGGGCTGTGGGGGTTATTCCTGGTACCTGAAGGTTGAGCTCCATCACCCCTTCATCTCCTCCAGGCTCTAACAGCAGCATCCCAGGGTCTGCTCAACTGTGGAGTTTATGGCTGGACACAGCACAAGTTCCACCAACTAAAGCAAGAGTCACAGCGTGATGCAGATACCCAGACCCCATTGTTATGCTCACAGAAGAGAGTCTATAGCAGGGGCCTAGATGCACTGGAGTCTACCCTTGCTTTTGCTACCAGCTCCTCCACCATTCTTTGAAACTATAGAACTCGAACATCCAGGAACTGGAATTGCTTCACACAAATGGATTGGGAAGAATGTTGGGGAACCACATCCTACATCTTTTTAAACTATACCCTAGACTACAGAACTGAAAGGGAATAGTGCCATGGTTAGGTGAATTGGGAAGATCTCTTAGTTATTCTCTGTTCACAGAGATAAAAACCACTTTCCATCTATGAGATAGACTCTTACTACTATGATGAATATTAGATTTGTCTCATCTAGAAAAATAAATTCCAGGTTATTACTTACATGTGTCAACTCTACTCCATGGTTGTAGGGAAAACAGGAGGCCATGCAACAGCTTGCTTTTGCCATTGCTGTTGTACTTCCGGAGGTTGGAGTAGGACCTGTATTTCTATTCTTTGAAAAGCTTTGAAACTTGACAGAAGCAATGACAACTCGCAAAAAAGTGACAGTGAGACCCTCAGACACACCATTTTCCACTTTCATAGGTTCAGTCATAGAACTTGATCAGAGTGAGCCATAATGTCCTAGAAAATGAAGGCCAGTAACATTCAGGAGAAATCAGGACTAGAAGAAAGCTTAGGAATCAGTGGCTCTCAGTTGTCACTTACAAGAAGCCCAGGGCTGGCTTACAGAGCCTGGGCACGCAGAGCTAAAACCATCCACATGACCTCGCCACTTCCACAGCTGCATTAGAATGAACAAATGAGCAAGTGAGTGAATGATAGGTATGATTTCAATGTTTTCAGAAAGAAACGGTTCATTCAGAGTTGGGAACACCTGTCTAATCTGTTTTTCTCCCTTGAATCACATAGTGGTGATGTTTGGTCTCTCCACTTGTGAACAAGACTAACGTAGCATCATCTACTGTGTTGCTAGAGCAAAGGGAAAAGCTGATTGGATAATGTGACTGGAGTGATAGCCAAAGTGTCTGGGACGGATAGTCAAGTACTTCTCATAAATTTGCTTGGTCTTTCCAAGGTAAAATCTTTATGATTAGAGAAATTGGCCAAATTATAATGGGAGGTTAGACAGGATCTTCTGAAAAGTAAGTTCCAAAAATCTTTCCAAAGGGTCTCTCTGTAGAAAGGTTAGATAATAATAGCTGTTTAGGTTTTAGGTCACGTACTTCACAGAAGTTATGGAGCATAACCTGCCAGCCCTTAATCTGTCCAGATCACATTATTATTTTCTTTTTGACAGCACTGGTTTGAACTCAGGGCCTCATGCTTGCTAGGCAGGCTCTATACCACTTGAGCCACTCCACCAGCCCTTTTTTGTGTTGGATTTTTTTGAGATGGGGTCTCACAAACTATTTGCCTGGGCTAGCTTTGTTCTGTGAACCTCCTGATCTCTGCCTCCTCGGTAGCTAGGATTACAGGTATGAGTCACAGCGCCCTGCCAAGTGCACATCTTAATGCCTCTTGTTGCCTGCTGCAAAGCTCTGGAGACCTGATTTCAGGATAGCATGAAACAAAAAGAATGGTATCAACCAGGGAGCAACTTTAATGTTTTTTAGTTTAAAAAATAAAAAGCATTGAGAAAAACAGCATATAGAAAAACAGATGGAAACCAGAAAGAATGCCCATCTCCATATGGAATGTTCCATCTTCCTGAAGGGAACCAGAACTAAGAAGTCCAGTTCCTTTTTTGGTGGTACTGGGGTTTGAACTCAAGGCCTCACACTTGCTAGGCAAGCACTTTACAACTTGAGCCACACCACCAGTGCCCTTTCTGTGTTAGGTATTTTTAAAAATAGGTTCTCATAAAGTATTTGCCCAGGACTGGCTTCAAATCACAATCCTCCTGATATCTGCCTCCCTAGTAGCCTGATTACAGGTGTGAGCCACTTGTGCCCAGCAGAAGTCCCAATTCTTTTTTTTTTTAGTACTGGGGCTTAAACTCAGGGCCTTCACCTTGAGCCACTCCCCACTCCACCAGCCCTATTTTTGTGAAGGGTTTTTCGAGATTGGGTCTCCTGGAGCTGTTTCTCTGGGCTGGCTTCGAACTGCAATCCTCCTGATCTCTGCCTCTTCAGTAGCTAGGATTATAGGAGTGAGCCACTGGCACCCAACCCAATTCTTAAAAGAACTTTTCAGTATCACCTTGATTTGATAGAAAGAAGGTAATTAGCAAATGTTTGTCATGTTTGTGTATTTTGCTACACTAGTGATTGTTTTCATTGACACTGGTCTTAGATATTCTGTGAATGTAGACAAAAAGATAGAAGGAATAATAAATAATAAGAGGCTAGGAAAAAAGCCAAATTATGATTGTGGATTTTTTGTTATACTGAGAGTCAGAGGGGACATGTGGAACAGGATACTGCTCAGACTATCCCATAAGCCTAGGAGGGACATAGCCATAGACATAGAGGCAGTTCTTAAGATTGTTGCATTCACCCCTCCCATGACACTTGTCCAGGTTGCTATTACAGTGGAATAGAGTGATATCTAAGTGGTGTAGATCTTTGGTGGATCACATAGAGTGCCATCCTTCACCTTGCCCTCATCAGCCTGTATGTGGCTTCAAAAAGCTCCCAGCTCCAACACCTCATGTCTTATATGGAGAATTGGGTAAGTGTTCAACGGTTTCAGTGCATGGGAGATTGGATACTTTCACATAGCAATCTTCAGAGTTTACATATTTGGCTGTGCACTTGCAGAAGACCTTAAGCATCTTTTTAGACTCAGTGTCATTTCCAAAACTATCACCTTTATAACGAAAACAGCTTTTCAAGGCAACCCGTGTGCCCTTTCCAAGGATTTTATTGCACTGATTGTACAGTGTACTGATTCTTTGCTGGCCCTGGTAACAATGTTCTTGTCCTTTGGAAGGATACCATCTTGCTTGTGGAACCACATGAAGGTTCCATTACAGTACTGTGGGAGGTCACATTCATTCACACTGAAGCAGCAAGATTTGGTTGATTGTTTTTAGAAATTTGCAGTGTTGGTTGCAAGATACAAATATATAATCTGAACCCTTTCTCATTCAGCATGAGGGCAGACAATAGTGATTGTTTTGACAATCAGGACACTGGCACAACAAAATTCTTTACTCACTTTCTTATTCTTACCATTTATTCACTATCTTGTTCTACAGTATGGTTTTCTAAAGGAGCATTGGAGGTGATATTTACTAAACAAGCAATCATCTTTGTGTCTATATGACAGCTAGTGAAAGTAATGGAAGCTGCAATTACTGAAGCCTGTAGCTACAGTAATAAATAAATTCATTGTATAGTACAGTGGTTCTGGCTCTGGCACTGGTAGGGCCTCATAGTCATGCTTCATTCTGAAGCGGTGGCCAAGCTCATGAATCACAAGAGAAAGATTCAATACTTGCTGCGCTCTTAGCAGTATGTAGATACCACTAATAGAGGCCTGGCCCTGGCACGTCCCATGCTTTTGGATAATGGCGTATGAAGAGCATCATGTTTCATTCTCCTGAAGGGATGTATCGAAGTGCTTTCTGCAGATTCAGGGATGCTTGCACTGGGTCTCACTTTGTCCATGTCTTTAACTGAGTGAATAATACTTGCTCACTTAGCTTCTTCATGTAACGCTTGATCAGCGCATGAATATTGATTACCATGTGTTGTTTTATTCACATTAGTTCATATTAAGAACCATTTACTGTCATCCACAATAGGCATTTTATCTCCACTGGCTGTATGGGACTCAGCTGATTTCAGATATGCTGTAAATCATATGTAAACCCCATACTCAAAATTGTTTGAGGATTATATAGACTTAATGGCAATGGGAGTGCCATGTAAAGTCAGAATTCCCTTTAGCCCTGAGCACGTGCTGATAATCACAAGAAAAGGCAAATGGTCCTCCTCATGCCCAGTATAATAGTGGTCATTCTGTATAAAAGGCATGTACAAATTCAATTTCATATTTTGATATGTATAGATTGGGGAGTTATTGAGTAACAGGCTTTTATTTTGCTTCAAGTCAATAATCTTCCATTTTCCTCATAACAGGATCTAGACACATTTTCTACTTTTTCTTCAGGTCCTCTGGACATAGTCATGTTCCTAAGGATAACTATTTGATAATAAAGAGATTCCCACTTACAACATATCCCCTGAAACAGAGTCACTGTCAACAAAGAGATAACATACTGCAGTCTAGCCTAGGAAAGACCCATTCTCAAACACCCCATATAATTCCTGGATAAATTTTTTTCCCAATCTTACCTATGAACACTCACTTTCATATATGGGTCAGGAGAGATGTCTTTGTCATGGTTGAAGAAAAACAGTCAATAATTCTGGACCTATGTTTCTCACATTGCTTCCTGAGACCCAAACCACTGACAGTGACAGAGTTGAGAGTTGTTTAGTTAAAGCTCAAAACTGTGCTGCCTGCCAGGAATATAACTGCTTCTACCCGTAAGTATTGCATGATGACACCTGCCCTTTGACTGTCTCTCCTGTTCCTCTTTCCCTCTCTGTCCAGGAGTGTCCTTATTTTGCAACCTCTCTCAACATTTAGTGCTCCTTAGCTGAATTCCTGCTATCTTCATAGAGAATGTTCCATATGTATTTTATATGTATCTCTCTCTATATATATATGAGTCTCTATGATAGCTTAATTCAAATATTTTTTTGTTTTTTATAGGTTTTTTTTAACAATTGTTATTTCTTCTTGTTGAATTTATCCTTTCATCATTTTGTGACTTTCTTTGCCTCTTTTTACATTTTTTTTTTTTTTGGTAGTACTGGGGTTTGAATTCAGGGCTTCACGCTTGCTAGACAGGTAGGTGCTCTACCACTTGAGCCACTCCAGCCCTCTTTTTACAGTTTTTTAATTAAAGTCTATTTTATCAGCTACTCTTCCTCACTTTTGGTCTCACTTGCATAGTGTATTTCTTTCCAGCTCATATTCTTAGTCTATGTATGTCTTTACTGATGAAATAGTTTTCTTATGTGCAGTATTGTTGGGTCTTTTTTTTATTATTATTCCCATTCAGCCAGTCTATATCTTATTTTAGTTGTT